CGAAGGTAGTATCGAAAAAGAACTAGCCTACATACGAAGAGCTCTCAGAAACACTCCCTACCCTAGACGACTGATAGAAGCAATCAGCTGTCAGCAATGGAAGAGTAGAAATAGTGGAACTGAAAGCGCAAAACCGAATTTCAACACCAGTATTGCTGTTCCGTACGTACCAAATCTAAATGAGAAGATGCAAATGATCAACCGTAAGCGTCGAATATCTGCCGGTATTCAGATCCAACGAAAGATTATTGAGCCAGCTGATAAGCGTCAAAATTTCTGAGCCGAAATCCAAACAACAAGGCTGGATTCATACCTTACCTTGTGAATATGGTCTCAGTTACGTAAGAGAAACTGGCATAACTATATAAGACAAGAAGAACACCTCAGCAACTTGACTAGATGGCGCAACGCTGATCTACGTCAAAACGGACAAACAAAGAAACGTAAAGGGCGAAGACAAACGAAAGACCCGCAGGTGGTAAAGCGAAATGCAGGTGGAATGCGAAAAGAACTAGGAGGCTATGCAACAGGCAGTACAAGAACAACATCGCATATTAAGAGACAACAGGAAGGGAATTCATCGAGAGCGAAAATTTCTCAACAGGAAAATAAAAGAAACACTGGTAATACAATCAAACCATCGCCTGAATAAAGCCATTGGTAAGGAACTAAGTTCGCACTGGAACGAAATTATTAAACAATTTCCACTACCGAGGCTAAAACCTCCATGTAATTTTGTACACAAATGCACCAATGTACACACACACACACACGGGCTGGGTTAACCCGTAAGATTGATGATGTCGTGCCTGTTTGATAATTTTGTCCATGAGTCGCCAACATCTGGGCCAAGGTCGTGAATGGTTGCGCGGATCGGCAGCGCTTTAACGAAGAACGAACTCAAACACTAGGAATGTCCGCACTGCTTTCGCATCATAACGCAAACTGTGATCTCTTCTTATGAAAGTGACTGGTCTGATTCCTTTGCAATAAACAGCGGACATTATTTATCAGTTGATCGAGCTGTAACGCGAGATGGCAATCAAACATCACCATCCGTACAAGTGAAAGTTACAGAACATGAAAGACCTAAAAGGTCTAAGAAAGTGGAAATAACATCAGGATCAGCGCGCCATCAGATCGGCACAGGTCACTTCGCCATCAGCATTAACTTCGCCGAAGCAAGAACAATCACAGCGCCAG